AAGCAGGCTCCCGAAGGTGTTTGGGTCTCGGACTGTTTCCTGGGACGGGGGCTTTGAGGTACCTGTTAAGCCGGCCGCAGGGCAGCGACCAGGGCTTGGGTTTGAAGGGTCACTTTCTGTTCTAGCCTCTGGGCCTGCACGGCCTCGGCTTCCTCCTCTCGGGCATTATACATTTTAAAGCATTGTAAACTCTAAAGGCCATATTTACCAGATCTTGGAGTAGAGTTTGGGGGCCCTTTTCTTCCTTTTTAAGCTTGTGCCGGATGTCCGGAGTGGATTGGGTGATAAAGTGGGTAGCTAAGACTGTGGACCCTGGTGGTGAGGAAGGGTCCAAACGAGTGTGAAGGGTAAGAGTTTTGTTAAACAATTAAGGAAAGAGGCTGGGTCTTTATTAGGCTTTTGTGTGAGCTGCCTCTTCCATCCCTGCAATAAGGCAGCAGACCAAGATGGCGGTGACGGCGGAAGGGGAGGACAGCAGACAGAGGAGTCAGGTGTGACGCTAACAGGACTGGAGGAGGGAGGCAGTGCTTCTGTGGCAGCAGGGAAGGAAGTGGATGGGGGAGGGGAGCCCGGAACAACTGGAGCTGAGGACAGAGGAATTAGAGATAGAGGGCTGGGAGGAAGAGTCGGATATAGGAGAGGCAGGATGGGAGGTTAGGCAGGAGCAGATACCAGAGGGTCTGGGCACAGAAGGTTGGATAAGGAGGGGGTTGAGAAAGAGCAGACCTTTGAGAAGAGGCGGATGGGAGAGGAAGCTGTGGGGGTAGATGGGGTTGCTGATAGGGAGGAGGTTTATCTGTTGGGTTGAAATCAGAGACAGAGGAGGGAGGTGGCGGCGTAAGCCGGACCGGGAGGGAGGGGAATCTCTGCCCACTTTTTTGAACTCTCACAGAAGTTATAGAGGTCCCGTATAATGTTGGGGTTTAGGGACCCGTAGGGGCCACTTATTTTGGTTGTCTAAGCGATAGGTGGGCCAATCTTGGGTACTGAAGTGGATTAGATGCTTGGGTTTAATGTCAGGAGTGAGAGAGAGAGAGCGGAGAGGTTGTCTAAGAGACATTTGAGGGGAGAGTTGGCCGGCAGGGATGACGTGTTTCCCATTTTAACAGCTGGAGCTGAGCAGGGCGTCCCCTGGACAGCCAGCTGTTAGGATATGAGGAGGTTGCAATAAAGCCTG